AATAGTAGACATGTGAAAAGTGGTTGTAAATTACTTTTTTCAGTGCCATTGTGATTTCGAATGGTCATTAAATGAACTGTTGTAAGTTGAGAACTACCTGTAGAGAGGGTTGTTTTGTTTTGCTTTGCTCTATAGCATGGGTGTCAAACACGCAACGTCATGTGATGTGTCGGGACATATAGTGATTTTTTTTTGCCATTGCTGTCAAGGGGGGGCATGGTTTCGCTATGATGCATCTGGCCCACAGGCTGGCAGTTTCACACCCCTGCTTTATAGTTTTCAAGTGTTTAGTGCTCAATTACTTCATTAATTTTGGTCATAATGCATGGAAGTAGTATCTAATATATGCCATCATGCATAAATTAACACTCTGCACATTCTTTCCATCACTGGAATAAGAAAATAATTTTAAGAATGATGCCTTATATCTCCAGCTTTTCTAGAAGCACCCAGCTTTGGGATAACTCAATGTTTTCATTATGTTTACATTCATGATCTCTGACACATAGTTATCTTCTAGTGATCGTTAATTTATGAGTGCTGAATAAGCTATAACGCACTCTTTTTTTCTGCATGTCATTGCAATATCTTTCGTCTTCAGGCACCAGGTAGTGAACTGTTTGACTTCTTTAACCTCTAATTGTCTTGCTAGTCTGGATAGTCTTCAGGGTTTCAGAATTATTACTGTCTCATCTCTTTTGCATGAAATGTCATACATCATAACTTTAAAATGCCACATTATCTCTTGAATGAGGATGAGAAAATAAGCTTAAGTTCTGTTACCACCAGGTTTCTTTTCTGGTTAATATTTCAAGTAGAGCAGATTATTCCTAGTGAGATCTGATTTTAGGTAAAATAAAATCACACACCACCAAAGGACCCATAAGTCACTTCATTAGAATATTTACGTGTGGATGGTTGAATTACAATGAAATATAAATTACAGCCTCTGACTATAGATGTGTCATTTGTATAAAAATGAAAATCACAATGGCCAAAAAACAAGGTAGCTAAAGGTAGAAAATAAGGAATAAAAAAAGCTGTGGCAAATGCCCATCTTGCCAATAACTAAAGGGAAGAGCGGGGCAGGATGGAGATTGCTGGGGGAGTAGGCAAGACAGTCAGAATTTTTAACCTTTTTGAAACTCAGTATTTACTTAGAAAATGGATACATTCATTTCCTCACAAAAGTTTTTATGTGAGTCAGTTTACAGAGAATTGAATAGGACATTAGCTTACCTTTAGAAGTCAAATGCCTCATTGTCATTTCCTTTTGCGAGACCGTACCTTGAAAATTCAACATGTCTTTCCAGATACAAATAGAATATTAGTTGTATTTCTTGGTTTATCCCATAGGATAAGGAATCAGTTATGTCTCTAATGGGAACAAAAGATTCTCTCTTTCAGTTTTGTTGATGGGCTGGTCCAAATTAAGAGGGCAGTGTGGACAGAGATTCTTTGTTCCTTTTTTTCCTTTCCTTTCTTTTTTGCTGCTGCTATAAGATCTCAAACATGCAATTTTCAGAAACAGATAATTGAGCTCCCTATTTTTTTCTAAAAGACAGTTGGTGCAAACAGGCATTTTAAAAAGCCTAATTAATGTTTTCTTTTTTAGTCTTTGTCTGGCGTCCCATTTTTTAAAAAAATAATAACAATTTATACATGTCAATTATTCCTATTTTGCAATATACTATTTTTTAAAACTAAGTGCATTGGTCTTCTATGTAACAATTAGGCTCTTAAAGTTTGTCAAGTTTTTTTATAGATAGCAAGGTCTTTTGCCCTAATAATTAAATGCCATTATATTCCACTTATTAGTAATTTTAATGTATACTTAAGGTAAGTCAAACATTAATTTCTTTATAATTAATCTTGTCACCATAGTCAAATACTCAACAATATAACAGTGAGGACTAGAACATTATTGTTTAAAAAAGAATACAACTGCTGAGATCTTTGATATTGCAGCATGCAGTTTGAAGACCTCCTTTGTTACAGTATGCAGTTGTTACCACTGAGCTATACAACCTGCTATAAATTCTTCAGTCGATTTATTCTCTTCTATGTTACTGTCACTGAAAAATAAACCTAATCATATACCATTGAGATGTAGCTGTGACAGAAAAAAAGTGAGATGCTGATGTGTGTTGATTGAGAAATTCTCCATTTATTTTAACACATTAATTTATTACTTAGGGTTTTTTTCTCCTCTATTCCGCATGATGAAATCATTTTGTTTCCCAGGGAACCTAATATTCAAGGTTCAAGTGTATTTTCCTCTGCTATGTAGTTATATTGATACAGAATGAATGCAAAGGTAGTTTGTTCTCAGATTGGAATTCATACAATAAACCCTTGTTTCTGTATGAGAGATCCTTATTCATTATATTCTATTCTTTCTCCATACTCTCTTATTGAAATGCCCCTTCAATCAATAATGTATCATACCTTGACACTATCTCAGTGATGGATATAAAATTTTGTTTTCATTGCAATTGGGTTTTGAATGATAGATTTGCAGAGTTCCCGGGGCAAACTTAAATAAGCCTTGAACTGTATCTCAGCAGGGACGCTAAATTATCCTTATTCAGAATAAATGTCTTTTTTTTTTTAAATCCCACACATACTACTAATTCTTCTCGGAGACAGAAGCTACAGATGCCAATCAAGTCAGCTTTAGAGGAATCAGTACTGTCAATTTTATGCTTGTTTTCTATTTGAGAGCAAGAATAGTAATGATATATAAAGTGAACATTAGCACATTAGGGAAGACAGAAGTTTACCCCCTAGATATAGGTATTGCTTTTGGGAATGAGTTAACTTTGTGTGTGTCTAGTTTATCTTATAATCAAGTTGATTCCCTTGCTTGTTTATATTATGTAAAAAAATTAATAATGTCATTGTAAAATGGCAAACATTGCCTCTGTAGTGGTTTATTAAATCACAAAGTTACCATGCACATGACATTACCAACATATATTTAATGAACCTCAGCTTAGTGGACTAAGAGCGCAATGCAAATTTTCATCTGAGCATCATTCCCAAATAAGGGACAAAATTTCCATTTCATCCAAAATAGTCTAGATTTGCATAATTTACATTATTGTTGAATCCAAATTGTCTGGAGGCAAATAATGCAAATTTATATAAAATGAATGTTTAGGTTTAATGTATTTCTCCTGAATAATCTGTAAAAGAAGAAAATACTGTAATGCCACTATTGAGTTTATTATCACATGCACCATAACTCTACTGTATGTGTACACACATATGCTTTATAGTATTTATTTATTTATTAAATTTATAAGGTGCTCTTCTCACTATGGAAAGTGACTTTGGCTGGTTTACCATGGAATAAAAATATGAAAATATATATAAATACAAGAACAATTTTAAAATTACAACAATTAAATGCAGACTAAAACCCAAGGGCTCAAGTGGAGCAGAAGTGGTGCTTTCTCTGCACCCGCCCACTTCCAGCCTAAAGCATCTCCATTGGGGCCCCATGCCAATGGGTCCCTATTATGTCATGCATATATTTGACATGTTTTGTTCTAGTGTATATAACATATACTATATAGCTATATATTCTATATATGCCTGTGAGGATGGAGCAAGTGAAAAAGAGAGATTGAGTCAGAATAAAAAAAAATATTATTATTTTTTTAATCCACTGCAGGAGACCATGGAAGGCCTCTTCATGGTAAATTGTGGAATGTAATCTATCCCTCTGTTCCAGTTTGTGTTGGTAAATCAACATTATTCAACCAAGAGAAAATGACTGACCCACATTTACTCAGGTGGCCTAAAGGAAGATTAGAACCTTGTAGAATCTGGGTTCCTAATCTAGTACTTTAACTACTACCTCATCCTGGCTGTCACAGAGAGAGTAAATTACTTCTGGATCCTTTAGTTGATCATTTCCTTTCCTCCCTGCTCTGTTTTGGTTGTTTATTTATGCAAAGTGCTTCTGGAGGTAGTAAATTGGAGAAAGCTGCTACAGATTTCTCCAATAACTGCTACGGATTTTTCTGATAGCAATAGTAATCCCTAGTCTAGCAGAGGAACATTTTCTATCTCTAGTCTTTTAATCTATTTATATATTTTTTCTTCCCTTTAGACACCTATGCATGGTTTTGTATCTGGTCTTTCCCCTATTTTAAATGGAGGATTTTCAATTTGCAAAAAGCAAAACTATGAGCAGCATCAGAAGTGGGATTATGATATGAGATGGTTTTACAAAAAAAATGCAGGTCTGAAAATGCTATTAGTTGTTTTCCAGGGCAAGCAGAATATTCTTGAAGTGATTTTAAATGCCTTTAAAAATGAAGCCAACAAAAATAATGACCAAGGTATATCTTCATAATCAGGTTAACATTGCCTGTGTATATATCTTCTTAATTTAATTAGCCATGAAGCTATCTTTATTTCATGAATGCTTAAGCTGCAGCGGCACAGTGGTTAGAATGCACTATTGCAGACTATTTCTGCTCACTGCCAGGAGTTTGATCCTGACTGGCTGAAGTTTGATTCAGTCTTCCATCCTTCCAAAGTTGATAAAATGAGGACCCAGATTGTTGGGGGCAGTATGCTGACTCTGTAATCTGCTTAGAGAGTGCTATATGAAGCAGTGTATAAGTCTAAGTGCTATTACTATTAAGCATGGATAAATGTTGAGTTACAAAGCTGCAAATATTATTTGCAAGTGTATTGGTCTTACTTTCATTCCTTCAAGGAACCTAGCAAAATATTGTTCTGTATGTGAGTCTGGTTTACAGTGACAATATTTTCATTTTTATAAAACATTTTCTTGGAATCTTCAGCTGTTAGTTGAACCATGCTAGTTAAAATAATTAATCCAGCTTTATTCAAAGCAGATTTCCTTCATCCTCTGCTTCTTATGCTTTGGTCCAGCATATTTATCATGTTTCAAACAATTGGAAGCTCTTGACAGTATATTGTAATCATGTTGTCCTTATTAATGTTAATTTCTGTTTCAGAAATCAAAAATTGCCACGTATGAAAAAATGTGGGCCTTTATGAATAGCAGAAGACAGTCAGTGCTTGTCAAAAGCAACGAGGAAGGTATCCAACGCGTACTCACTTCTGATTATGCTTTCCTAATGGAGTCAACTACCATCGAGTTTGTTACACAGCGGAACTGTAACCTGACACAAATTGGAGGCCTGATAGATTCCAAAGGTTATGGGGTTGGAACTCCCATGGGTAGGTTGTACATCCTTTCTAATTTGTATTCATAATTGTAGTTGCAGTGATAACAGATGTTCCCTAGATTGTTAGCCACTCGATCTGTGTAATAACATTGTGTTCTATTTATTGTAAATAGTATTTATATTGTTAGGGTAGTGTCCAAGTATTCCTAGGATGATATGCTAATAGTGCTGTAAGTGTTATATATTCATTTTTCAGCTGGAGGAATATGATCTATGCTAAGGAAACAAATTTAATTTATGGTTGCCTAAAATATAAAAATAACATGTTAGCAGATGCATGATTTTTTTTAAAAAAAAATAAAGATAACAGTTTCAGGAAAAGAGAACTTTAATTAAACGTGTTTGTAGATGACTGTTGTGAATATATTCCTGGTTATTCAGTTGTTTGACTCTTTCTCCAGATGCCAAGTTTGACTAGTGAAGTATTATATTTGTAGAGTTACTTTCTGCTAACAGTGGATATAAGCCAATGCTTGAAGAGCTTCCAAAATTATTGACTATTTTTTTTTATATGAATAGTTTGGAGCAGGCTTTTTTTAACTGTTATTAGATTTTATTATAGAACATATTATTTAATTGTGCAATCCAATTGATGGGTAATGAACTGGGATCTCCCATAGTCTCAGCTCTGTTAGGATCAAATATTAGGCTCACGCAAATCCATAGATACGTAGATATCTACAATTTGTAGGCTAACAAAGATATCTTAATTCATTAAAAGTCTATGGGAGAATTTAATAAGTTTAGTACAATGAGATCAATACAATGAAAGAAGGGTAAAGGCAAGTTCAAAGATGGCAGGGAAGGGTAAATGGGATTTCAGGAAGTGATTCATATTATAGGGATATTTTATTATTTATTTATTTATTTTACCAATTTTTATGGAGGTGAGTCTAATTGCCAACATCCCCGAAACCAGGATATTTATAAATTGCTCCAGGGCTGTCCTAATTCTAGTAGGTGAATTTTAGCATGCACATTATTTAATAAAGGCATTTATATTCCTTAGTATGTATGATAACTTAAGATAACTTTTTTACTTATGATATTGTTTTACTTAAGATATGTGACTGATCTGACAATTTAAATAAAGTATGCATTTAAAATTCCTTCCTTCTTCATACCTCATCATAAGAAACAGGAAATTGTAAAGGAAGATTAAAAATATTGGTAACTCTTAACCACAGTACATGATTATAAGTTTCTGGATCATGTGATTGTTGCAAAACGTAGTGCACATTAATGTACCAAAAATGTTACTCCATCTCGTTCATGTATGATAAAACAATCAAATAAAATCTTATCTTCCACTGCAGGAGCCATACTGTTAAAATGGATCTGATTGCATGGCATGTGTTGAAGATAGATTTAAAGCTCTCAATGGAAAATAAAGATTGACCACAGGTCAATCACAATAGGTGAACTGTACCATTATATTAAATGTTCCCTTTCAAAATTTAGATTTCAGAGTAATAACAATGTGTTAAATTCTTTTGGTTAATTAATGTATAGTTGACAAATAAAAAGAAAAAAAATTAAAGTATCTTGAAAAGTACATTCAGTTGATATATAAATTAAAATAATAAAGTAATACATCAAAATATCAGCAAAAGATCTGGTTAAAAAAAACCACGTTAATAGTTATTTTAGTCAATTTTTCACTGATCAAAATATTTCCCCAAAGTTTCTTAATCTTCATTTAATCTTTTCCATGATCTTTTATGTTCTGTTCTATACTAATATAAGTGACTGTGTTTTAGCCCTGATTTTGTATTATTGCAATGTACTCAACTTCTAAAGCTTTCAAAGTAGGCACCTGGAAACCAGAAAAACTGAGTGGTTCTAGTCAATAACTATTGACAGAATTTTGAATTAAGGATGTTGCTAAGCAAATTACCAATAGTCATTTGGGATACTATTTGAGATATTACCAGAGTGTTCATCATGACCGTGCAGGGTTCTTCAAGGCACAATAGCTCAATTAGATTTCAGTATTTAGCAGTTCTCCTCTAACATCTGTAGACTTCAGGGCCACAATTAAAGCAATAGTGGGAATAATGAAAACAGAAAATCTAAGTAGCATAGGTGGACAATATTCTTCCTGAAATTTTCCTTGTAGCCTCAATATTTATGTTATATTTCAACCAAGGCATAAGAAGCTTGGTTGAAAACTACTGACTTCAGAAGATTAAGAATATAGAAATGGGAAAATCTTTTTTTTTCTTGTGTATAAGTCATTGGCCCTATCAAATATGTTACCTACAACTGCAATTGCAGGAAAAGTTTCATACGCCCTGAACTTGTATAATGTCTATCAAAAACAAAATACCATGAATAAAAATATAGCTTTCCAATATAATTGTATTGATCATTGAATCTGTGGCTTCAAGACCATCATTTAATTTCAAAATTTTGGTCTGAAACCAAGAACCTTTCATATAGCTTTTAGCAAGCAATTTTCTTCACATTTTGGTCAAAATTGTATAAATGTTCTATGGTGAAGTCAGTCTCAGTCTGAAAATGATTTCTGTTATGTATTATGTTCTCTTATTCTTTTTCCAGTGCAATTATCTGTATTCTGCAAAGTAAGTTATATAGTGATTGGACAATGTGGATGGTGGTTCGCATGTATGTGCAACTGTGATTAGATCTGCTTACTTAATTTAGTTAAATTATTGTTAATAGGATCTTGAGCATATTAGAAAATTATGTATTGTTACTGGTGTTGCTGTTATTACTGCGGCTTTTCCACATAAGCTTGAAAAGGCCCCTGTCTACAATTCTAGAGAGTTGTTGCTAATCAGCTTTGACACTATGGGCCTAAATAACCAGGTCTAAGTCAGTGTAAGCCAATTTCCTCGGCTTCTCTTGTTGCTGTTGGGGAATATTTTTCTTCTTTTATTTCAGTCAGCCGAATAGCGCATGATTAAAGTGCTCTTTGGAATTAGCTCATTTTGAAGGCTTGTCTTTTTCATCTTAATTCATCAGGCAGAGCATCTAGAAAGAGGTATTTCACACTCCGCTCCTTTAAATTAAAGGCTTTGCCACCCAAAAGGGGTTTCAGACAATAATTTATGACCCACAGCTTCATACTGTATTCTGCTCAGAATATGACTTCATGAATTATTGATATTTACCCAGTCCATTAATGAGTGCATTATAATGCTGCTGTTCTACCTTGGTATGCAGAATCCTTGCTCTGAGTAGCCTTTGAATCCACCATATTTAATTGCTAGGCAATGGGCAGTAATAAACTGTTTAGCTTATTCAGTCTGCATTACCTCTTGGGAGTGATTTTTGAACTTTATGTTCTTATGGCAGTGAATTGTACAAAGCTAGCATTGCCTTTTCAAAAATTCATTTCATTCTTTACCAGAGCAAAGAATTATGTACTTTATTTCCTTGTTGAGCATTTTCAAGCACATCCCTCCTAGGTTTATAGCTTCTCTTAGACTGGGTGATACAGAGTAGGGCGGGGCTTTTTTTTTGCCTATTTTGTCCCATTCTTTACTCTTCTGCAATTAGACATGGTGCTCTAAAAGAAGTAATAAGAAAATTTTCTAATATATCTAACCCAGACATGTCAAACTGGTGACGTCACGTGACATCGCGAGACGTCTCGGAACAGTTTTGCCATTGCCGGCAATGGGGTGGGTGCGGCTTTCGGATGATGCGTCCGGTCTGCAGGCTGGCAGTTTGACACCCCTGATCTAACCCCTACGCACGCACATACACATGCCTATTAATTGCATAGCTACCGGTAATCTAAATCATGCATCTGTGGGAAAAAGTAAAATAAAATGATAAAATAGCAATTTTGACATGAGGATGCAACAGAATAGATGATGGTAGCAAAGGCAGTAGCAAAGCTCAATTCTCAAGAAAAATTCTTTGATACTGTCAGCTGAAGGAGTTGATTGGAAGATCTGTTCATTATTAGTAGATGATACAGTGCTGGGACTGAAAGGCTGAGCTGTGAAATAGAAAGCCTCCAGTACAAATACTAACTGTGGACCTATTGTGTTTGCTACTACCCTGTACCATATACTGCTTTGTCTGCAAGTTAGAAATAATAGTACAGATTTGCCTTTGAAGATTGTTGTAATATTCCCTATTTAAATAATGCAAAATATATGGAACACTTCAAATGCCAAAATGCATTTACATTCCTTAATCCAAATTCTATTCTACTTACCCTAGAGAGGGAAAATGGCAGAAGAAAAAGGCACACAAAAACTAGCAAAAGCATAATGAGTAGGTGATCCCCAAATCTGATGATTAGGGAATTGCCTGCTCTGGATGAGTTGCATACCCACTAAAGGAACAGGTTTACAATTATGATGCTCCTGGATTCATCATTATCACAGGAATCCCAAGTGATCATTTTGGTTAAGATCACCAATTATCAATTCAAGTTTGTATATCAGATCCAACCTCGAGGTTGATAATGTACTCCATGTGAGTCTGTCATTGAAATTGGTTAGAAGCTACAGAACAACTTTGCTCACTTGTATGTCTTATGATATACACATATCATACCAACATAGTTGGATCTCCATGTATTGCTCTAACATATAAATCCATGAAGTACTTGGACCATGTTTACTTAACACAATAGAGTTTGCCTTTTCATCTTTCCGCACAATTTCAGTCCTTGGAAGAGATCCTGCTTTACTTGCTTTCTGAAATGGGTCTTCTCTGCAATGATATCTACCCTATTGAATAACCTCCCCTAAGTGAGACTTCAAATTGGGCATAGCTATATACATTTCTATTTTTCTAGAAACTCAGCCTGTATTAGGAGCTAGTTAACAGAAGAAATGTTAGCAGTCTTGATGTTGCTAGATTAACTATTGTTAATAATAGACAAGAAATAAGTCGTATATGTGTTCAAAACTTCAGTCTGATACAGCCAAGCCCCCCCTCAAACACACTAAAGCTTAAGCCTTTTCCTCCCAGCCTATCAAGCCAATGTATCCTCCGTCATTCATT